GTGTTGGCCTGGTTAATTAGCTCTCTGCCCCCTTCCTGCTCTGGGTTCAGGCTATGGGGCAGAGTAAGGAGCGATGCTAGTGCAGAGCAAGGGAGATCCACAGGCGGGAGCGCTGCCCCCACCCTCAGACCCTCAGAAAGGGCTGGGAATGAATGAAGGAAGAAGGACATAAGGAAGGAGGAATGAATTTCCTTCTGCAAATGCTCGCACAAGGGCCAGCTGCCCTGGATTCTAATTCTGACCCTCTGCCCAGTCTAGAACAAATTACTAAGATTTCTCGCCTCTGTTTTCTACTCTGTAAAGTGGGCCACCAGCCAGGCCTCTTAGGAAGTGGGGTGAGGATGCACACGGTGGTGTCTGGGAAGCTGTGGCTTGCCTTGTAACTATTAAGCGATCAAGAATTATTCTTCCTTACTGCCTGGCACGCTTTGGCGGTCCGGTTCTGCGGTAGAGACGGAGCTCTGCAAAACCTCGTCTATCAGGCCGGGTGACTGACTCCTCTAGTGTGCCATGACCGGCGCCCAGACTTACAGGTGAACTCGACCTGGGTTTGTCTGCCTTGCAGGAGCTCTCTAGCTCGCGGGGTTTCCCGGAGAGCCGCCAGAGAAACATACGGACCTGACACTGAGCTGCTGTGCTTTTCTGTACATAGTCCGCATAGACCCGACCTGGGGGGCCAGTGGCTCCCTTGGCCGCCAGCGGGCAGGCGCCGTCGGAGCCAGTCCGGAGGGAGACCCAGAGAAGGAGACCAGGCGAGGCGCCGCTTCCCGGGCATCTTGAAGGCATTGTGTTTAATAAATCTGGGCAAGACGTACACTCGCTCTCTCCCCCCTCTCTTCTCGGCTCCCAAATCGAGACCTGCTGTAGGACCCTCAGTTTACAGGGTCTTAAAACCCCCTCCACTTTGATTAGCAGCTTCAAAGAGCTCTCTTTAAAGTTGCCCTTCTCCCCACCCCCACCTTTCTTCCTACTTTACAGGACACCCTTCCCCCATCACTCCTAGACAGAAAGAGGAGGACAACAGCAAAACACTAAATGCAAGTTTAAAGGGGCGGGAGTGGGGGTGGGGTGAGTCGTCAGGCTTCGTTCGGAACGTGGCCTTAGAAATTACCTATTTCAGTCGTGCGCAAGAGTTAGAACACCATGGAGTTTGGGATTTCTTTTTCTTTCTTTCTCTCCCTCTCTTATTATTATTATTTTTGGTTCTTCTTTTTCTTTCTTTTTTTTTCGGGTTTGTGTGTGTGTTTTTACCTTTTATTATTTAAATTGATACGTTTCATTACTAGGGAGAAAAATAAAATATTCCTTTGATACACAAAATCAAATTGATATTTAGCCTCTGCTTACTTTTTTATGCATGGCTCCTTTATACCACATGGTAGTGACAGATTGTTTGAGCTGGAAGGAAAAGCCATTCAAAGCTAATTAAGCAGCCATTCCAAGCACTATTTGCAAGCGGGAGGCTCAGAAGCCTCGGCATTTGTCAGCGCTCCCCCACCCCGCGTGGTTTTGACTGACAGCTCCGGTCACGGATTGACAGCTCCTGGAAGCTCCACCAATCAGTAACCTGAAGCTCCTTTCGCTATCTGTGATTGGTTGTTAAGGCTTGCTCGGGGCGTGGTTGGCGTTCCCCACGTGGGGGCCAGAGAAAAGATGGGCGGGGCGAGGAGGGAGCGGGTGCGCCCACCCGTGACGTAAGGGGGAGGGCAGAGACGGGGGAGGGGAAAAGGAAGCTCCAAAGAGGAGCCATTTTGTGTCTAATGAATGCTGTGGCCAGATGCTCGCATCTGTCGAGCCGGGTTTCTTCTAACTCCCCCCTTTTCGGTGCGTGCTGCACACGATTTATGTTTTTATTTAGGAGAATAAATAAATGAAGAGAGACTCGCGGTTCGGGGCAGGCGGCCGAAGCGGGCACGGGGAGACTCAATTCTGAGGCCGGCGTTCACGTGTAACTCCCTGCGCACCGGCCTCAGAGGGCCGGCTTGCTCTCAGCTCCTCATTAAGATGCAAAAGCGAACCTTCGGCTCTTAATGAGGGGAAAATATAGATACGGGGGCGCGCGGCCGGTTTGCGCGCGGCCGCCGCCGCCCCAGGGTGCGTTCTAGCTTGCGGAGAGGCCGGGGGACCTGCCTGGGCCGCCCACCCGGCAGTGCTGTCTCCGAGGGCCGCTAGCCTGAGGCTGGTCTACCCTGACGTAACCCCGAGCACGGGAGACGAGGCTATCTGTTGGCGGACAAACTGGCCCAAGAGTCGAGCGGCCTTTGGGACTGCTCAGGGAGTCTGCGAGGAGCCGTGCAGGGGTGCTCCAGGCGTGCGCGGGAGGCTGGGGAGCGGCTGCGCCCCCAGGGGCGTCGAGGCTCGCGCCCCAGACACCACAGGCTCTCACATAGACTGTCCTCCACAAGCTGCTGCCAACGCTGAGATAATACGGCGACTAGGCCGAGTAAAGCGGGTGGGGACTCTCGGGTTGCGGCCGGGAGAGCCCTGACCCTATTCCCAGCTCCACTCCTTTGGGCCTGGAGCGAAGCGGGGACCCCTCCCGGGAAGCCTGCGGCCAGGACGTAGCTGTCCCCACTGGGAAGGAACCCCGAGTGGGGTCAGCCGCGAACAGAGCCTGTTGTCCGCGGGCTGCTGGGCCCTTCCATCTGCGCTACCCGCCAAGCCAGAGTTCCTCAGACTTCTCTCAGGCAGCCGACGCTCATCAGAGGCGCTGTTTATTTGGCTTTCTGAAAAGAAGGGCGAACGAACAAAGAAGGGAAGCTGGGGGCTAATGGGCAGCGGTAGGAAGGGAGAAAGAGAGGGACAGCCTCAGTTCCGAGCAAAATTTTAAAGATCGAAGGCAACTTTGGGAGCCACCATTTTATCCGTCCTAAATCTTGTGAAGTGAAAACATTAAAGTGACAAAGTGATTCTGTTTGTTTTATAGTATCTAATTGGGCTGCTTTGCAGACCTAATGAGATTAGAGGGAGGAATCGTTCTCACCACTGCAGAATAAACCGATACATTACTACTAGCCACAGGTTTTGAAGATCGTACAGCTTGTCTTTTTTTTTTCTTTTGTTGTTATTCTTGTCTTCTCTTTCCCCCTCCTGCTAAATAATTATTTGCTAGTAGATCGTGGGAAAAAAAGAGGAGGAAAAAACTAGCAGCCCAGGACTATAATGTATATCTATTTATTATATGTCTTTTGGTTAATTCCTGATCTGAGGAGCGCTGTTTTTCACTCCCATGCGAAAGTCACCAGCGGGTAGGGCCTGATTGCTACTTTTCATGCATAGTTTTAGACACAAGAGGGCATTGTGACGTCGCGCCCGGCGGCGCCCAGTCGCAGGCCGAGCCCAGCAGCCCCACGTGGGGACTCCGCGCTCCCATTGGCCAGTGCCGGGCGAAGCTGCCACATTATTTTGTTACTTTTCAGTCCCTATTTGGAACTGCTCTCGCGGCAGTTCAGACCTCGTGCGCGTCCCCCTCGCCTGTCTGTGTGTGGTATCCGCAGGTCCGAGGCACTTTTTTTGGTGTGTGTGTATGTGTGTGTGTTGAGTGTTTGTGTTCGAGGGGTTTCTCGGGGCTCGGAGAGAGCCGGGCCGAAGGGAAGGAAGGAAGCCGCAGAGCTCCCTGTCTCAGGCTGCGTCTCTCCTCCAGCGCTCTCCTGCCTGCGCGCTGTGAGGCGGCAGCGGCGGTGGCGCCGAGCGCTCCTCGCTGGGTTCGCACAGCTCAAGTTGGGAGCAGCGAGGACCCCTTTGCTGAGGTTTTCCGTGCCCGCTGGGATAAGATGCCAGGGCGGTTGATTTGCACCTACTGAACCCGGAGTTCCTCCCCGGCCCTGGGAAGGGTTGGCGGCGGCGGCGGCGGCGGCAGTAGCAGACGGAACAGCAGGCTCTCCTCTCCGAGGGGGGGCGTCGAAGCGCCCGCGCCGGGCTCCAGCCCTCACCCTCCCGCGCTCCTGCGGCCCCGAGCAGCCACCTTTAGTGCCTGCCTTCTTCCTCTTCTCGTCGCGAGTCCCCGACCCGGCTGCCTCTAGGATCAGACCGGCTCGCCCCGGATGCTTGGGGTTGCCCCGCGCACCCCGCTCCAGGTTCTACGCGCTGAGTAATCCAAAGGGGACCCGCGCTCGCCCCGGGAAGAGCCCCCGGCCCTGGGACCCAGCTCTGGACCCGCCGGGGAGCCGACGATGTCCACGCAGCCCCAGGCGTTGACACTGTCCACGCAGCCAGGGGAAGGCGGCCGGCTGCAGCCCGC